CGGGCTGCTGGAGCGACACGGTCCCAGCGTCGCTATTTCCAGAAACTCACTGAATGTCCGCACACCCATCGGGATCCGCCGGGCGCCTCCTGACACGGCCATCAGAAATATAGCGCTTCACCTATTCAGTGTGTGTAAAATGATGACGATTAATCTCGAATAACACGATTAACACAGTAATAAGCAAGCGCTCGCTGTCATCTCTACGAGTAAATGAGTCGGCTGTTTTGTTCAGTGACCAACCCCACGCTGTGCGTTAAATCATATTTCGACTTCAATAGCTCTTTCCCCTGCGATTCCGCTGAAACCGATTGAGGTTAAACCGGTGAAGCCTTCATAAGCTGCCGGCGTGCGGGACACACTGTTCTGATGCGGCACCGTGCAGCTGCCGCCAACTGGACCGGAGGAGGACAGAATGTCACATAAGGGACACAATCATTATGATTTCATGTCTAAACTGCCGCATTTTATTCGAATCATGGTAATAAATTATATGGGTGCATAAAACCAATGACAACAATGAACAGATATTAATAATCCCAGCAAGAAGGGTGTCATTTCACTCCACCTCACTAGGGGAAGATGTTGTGCGGTTTGTGCACATTTCATAATAAAAGTCAACGCAAAATCATAAAAAGACAGAAATTCAAAATGTCAATTAATACTATGTATATTGTCATTTGTATATTGTATATGTTTTCAATTGTTTTTATTTTAGTTTACGTTTTAGTAATTTTGTTTGTGTGTTTTCGTCATTTATTATTTTTTTCAGTTTTAGTACTTAGGTTTTTCATCTAATATTTAATATTTTATTTTATTTATTTTCGCTTTATTTCGATTACCAAAAACATAGTTTTTCGTTTTAGTTAACAACAACACTGTTTTATTGTCCTTTGATATAAACACTTGATAAATGCTCTTGATAAAATTGAAAATGAAACGTCTAAATTGTTATAAGGCAGTCTTTCCTGAGCCATTTTTAATAAGCTGATAATAAATCAGCCTTACATGTTCATATGGGTTTAACTGAATTTAATACTCAAGTTTATTTATGTAGTACACGCGTAGGGGATGATGGGAATTGTAGTTCTTCAAACTGCCATACGTTAAGGTTAGTAGAAGCGCGTGGAAGTTGAAGTGAAAGTCCGTGTGCGTCTAACCTCACAATTTCGTGCGTTTTGCGTTTATGAACCTGAAAGCACCTGCTGTAATGTCCACATAGATGTGCGAGAAACCTATTTTGTGTGATACAAAGTCCTCGAGCGGGTAAGTTTGTATGTCAGTTGCATGTCAACAGCATAGCAAAACAACTTAGCAAACTCTTCCTGTGTCAGTGCTACAGCAATACTGCATGTAGTTGTGGTAGGTGTCTTCATTTTATAGCCAAGGACATCAGTTTGTTTCATTATTTTTACTTTTATTATTTTCGCCTGGTTAATTATGTAAACTGGTTCTATTAAAAAGCTTGTAGTTGTAAATATGCAATATATATATATATATATATATATATTCAATAAAATGTTACATTAAAAGTCATTTATGATTAAATGGGATCAATTTGATTGACTTTTTTTATTTCCTTAAAGGAATATGGATTCTGTACATTGCTGGAATGGAGCAAAAGGTGACCAGATCCCCACTAGGGCTAGACCCATGTCAGACACCTTATCCAAACTGGCCCAACTGATCACTTGCATCGAGTACAAACCAAAACAACAGCGGTCTTCCTCCATCTGCAAAGACTGCGGCAACAAATTCTCCGACCAGAAGAGTCTTGAGTGTCACCAGAAAAGAGAGCACGCCCTGCAAAAGCTCCATTGCTGTCAACACTGTGGCCAAAAATTTGCTTTGCTCTCTAGTTTGCAGCTACACGAATGTTCTTGCACCTCATCCATGTGCCAGACATGCATGGGGAAACCTCAGAGGGGTTCTTCTTGCCCTTCCTGCGGGACTGAATCTTCAGAAGATCCCTTCTATCATGACAATAGCCCCTATGCATGCGCTCCATGCGGACAAGCCTTCAGCCACAAGCAAGAGCTGCTACTCCACCAGCAGGCTGGAGGCTGTGAGCCCGCCAAGACTCTCAAACCTCCTCCACCTTCAAATGTCTCCTCGCCTCCATCTCCTCCATTTGCCAACTCATCTCTTACCACATGCACTTTGTGTCACAGAAAGTTCCGTTCTTCTGCTGGACTTGGTTGCCACATGCGCTTTTCCCATGCGCACATGAAAAGCAGCACAGAGAAGAAAAGAGTTGTCATTGTAAGTACATTGAAGAAGAAGAAGAAGAAGAAGAAGAAGAAAGTTCTCATCTCAAGTATGTCGTTTCCATGTCGTTCCTGTGATGAATCATTTCCTAAGACATCACTCCTCCATCAGCACAGGAAAGAGGAACACCGGCGGGAGATAAAGGTGAGGAAACTGCAGCGAACCTCTTTGAAGACCACCAGGCGAAGGCGGAAAGGTGAAACATATCCATGCCTCCATTGCGGAAAAGAGTTCCTGCACCATCTGACGCGTCGGACGCATTTTAGACACTACAGCTCTCACCATCAGACCCACCTCAAATTGAGTGGCAAATCATCAGGCGCTGACGCAGCTGGGTTCCGCCCAAAGGCAGCTAAGGAGCTCAGACCTTCCCAAGAAAAAAGACCAAGAGGTAGACCTAGGACCAAAAATCTACCTGTTTTGATGGAAACCAAGCAAAAGGAAGAAGAGCAAATGGATAAGCAGGATGATAGTGATGAAGACGAGGATGCCGAGTATCCTTGTACGTCATGCGACCAGGTCTTTAGCTCCAAAGCTAAGCTGCATGTCCATGAGAAAGTCCATGAGGAATTCCCTGAGGAAGTCCCTGAGGAACACGCTCAACCAGCCGACACATGCAGGTGTTGTAGTGTGTGTACAGGTGGGATTCCCCTCGCTGAGATTCCAGAAGATTGTGAAAAGAAAGTCTATCACTGTGTGCCATGTGCCGAGGCGTTCATAGCCCTGAACACTTTTCTAGAGCACTGCCAGACACATCTGATACGTGAAAATGAAGATGAATTCAGTGATGATTGAAAGAGCTTCCATTTTTTTAAGGAATTGTTCACTCAAAAAAACAAAAAAAACAACATTTTCTCACCATCATATTCTAATCATGTTAACTGTTATTATTTTTTCTTACAGAACATACTTTTTTTTTTTACAGAACCATTGCATACATTTAGACAAAAAGCACCTTAAAAGTGCTTCTAAAATAAATATTCCTTACATTTTTGTGTATGCATATAGGTTTTTATGAATAAATAATTATGGAATTGAAATTATTTGGTGAACTATTCCTTTAAGAATGAAATCTCTGTCATCATTTACTCACCCTAATGTCGTAGAACACAAAAGACGATTGTTTTGAAAAATATTGATAACCGAAGCGTTTTGATTCCTATTGACTTCCATTGTATTTTTGTCCATTTAATGGAAGTCAATTTCAACTAAAACGGTTACCAACATTTTTCAAAATATCATCTTGTATGTTCCACATAAACAGTAATACATGCTGACATAAGGGTGAGTAAATGATGACAGGGTTTACATTTTTGGGTGAACTGTCTCTTTAAGGGCAGGGTAATCAGTCTGCAGATGTTCAGGCTATCAGGAATTATATTCAGCAGGCATTTTTGGTTTTGGTAAACTGTCTGAATATTATCAGTATTTTACAGGTTTTGATTTCTGTGGTTCATGAGGTATAATGTTGTACACAGGACAACTCACTTCCACCAATCTTGAGCCAAACTGCCAGAAAAATAATAGAGGCCTTTGATAAGATCGACAAGCCAATTGCATGTTGTCAGATATGGGTACCTAATTAAAACCACTTCAACTCAGTGCATAGTTCTGCTTCAGGATCAATGTTCTCATACCTCTATACCGATGTAGAAGTCATATCCATTATGTTACTGTGAGAATATGGTGAATTTAATATTTTGACATACACATAAATCAATTCTTTTTTCTAGATGGCCAGTGCCTCGCTGAAACACAAAACCAGCTTAATGTATGTACTGCTTCTTGTTGTCTGTCAAGTTGGAGGATGTAATATCTTTGTATTTGCTAGATTCGGCTACTGAAGTGTTTCAGCTTGTTTTATTATATAGCATTTTACTTACATTGTGAAATTTCTGTTTCTGTATTTCATAAACTACATGAAACAAAGTAAGCTTTATTCTTCTAAAATTGTAGAAGCTTTACAGATAGTAGCATGCCTTATATACATGATATTTTATGCTATCAGACCAAATATTGCTATAATTTCATAACTTTCTTACTAGACTGGATGAATGAATTATGTGCTGATATGAGACCTCAGATTAGGTGACTCGGGCAACAGAACAAGTCCATTTTATTGTTTAATTTGTATATCAGGGCTTCTTAACCTTTAATACTCTTCATTTGTTTCTGATGTTTTATGTAACACTTCTAACATTTTCTCTCCCTAACACCAAAGGCTGCAGTGATTTTTTTTTGCACTAACTTTTTTTGTTGTTGTCTTTGAACACTGTATAATATTCACTTTATGACTCAAATTGAAAATGATGTGGTGCAAAAGTGTAAGTGCAAATATAACTATATTTTCCCCCCAAATCTTTTATTAAGAATATAGACTGGAGGCTTTTTATATTTGGTTCTCTACATTACTGTCTGGGTGTGTTTACTTGCGGCTACCTCTAGTATCACCTGCTTTGTCCCAAGAGGTGTGATGATTTTTTTTTCTTTTGAATAACATTTGTCAGAAAATTTACCTCATGTTATGCATTACATTGGCATTGTTTTCGAATAAATTGTTGAAAAAGTTTTGGTAGTTTTTGTTTGTTATTTTTGTCCCTTTTTAAAAAAAAAAATCACACCAGTAGCCCAAATATGGCATTAAAGAATATTTTGTTTTTCCTAAAGACAAGCCACATTACGTTGTGCAATGTTATTGAAGTTCATCCTCCGCTACAGTAGGGGGCGATATTTTCACACGGTGACTGGTACAGAAAATCCCGCGACCTAGTACGCCACTTCCGCCACTGTTCATACATTGTTTGAAACGTGTTTCAAACGGTTTTGTTTTACAAAACTATCTGATCTAACGAAATAAACATGAGCAAAGCACACCCGCCCGAGCTGAAAAAGTAAGTATTTCAAGCCTTTTGTTGATTGTGATCGTAAGTCTGTTAGAAATGCGTTAATTTGAGCATCGCGTTATTCCACTGCGCTAGCCGGTTTGTCTGCATTTATTTCACAACTACATTATATTATTCATGCTATTTCATTTTTGTTACACTTTCATATGAATTCGGTTTAAATGTTTGGTCCAGTATCTGTAAAACAGTACCCGTTTTGTTCTTGCCTTTTAGGTTTATGGACAAGAAGCTTTCACGTGAGTATAATGCAGGATTTTCTCACAAAGTATTATCCAGAAAAATAAGAGTATGTGAAATCTGGAAATCTCCATAATTCCTAGAAATATTTTATTTCAACAGCATGTGACTGTAATCTTGAATGCAAATAAATAACCTTATCTAAATGGATGTTCTAATAAACCCACATGATAACTCTGTTCCGAATCACTCTCAGTTCAAATATCCGTTTCTTCTGTAAAGATGTTGTTTTCATGCACACTTTCAGTTAAGCTCAATGGTGGCCGTCATGTTCAGGGCATCTTGCGTGGATTTGATCCCTTCATGAATCTGGTCGTTGATGACAGTATAGAAATGGCTCCTGGAGGACAAATGAACTCCATTGGGATGGTGGTCAGTACTTAATATCACAATCTGGTATCAAACAAATTACATAACTGATGGTGAAACAAAACTAGCTGGCACAAGTATCATATAGATAGACATTGTTCAGGTAATAGTTCTATTGTTATATTTAATTGATCATGGATATTGTATATCACTCAAAGATCAACAAACAGCTTTGTTCACTTCTCACATTTCCATCACTGGTGTGATGTGTTTTATTCTGTGCAATGATGAATGCTCTTTTTGTGTCTCTTCAGGTGATTAGAGGAAACAGTATAATCATGTTGGAGGCTCTTGAACGAGTATGAGGATGATGCCCACTTTTTTTCCCCTGCTTTTTTTTTCTCTTTTTTTTTTTTGTATCCAGCAAATATGGAAAAAATGGATTTCTCATGTCTGTTCACAACAAAGACTTAATATTAAAGCAGAAATCCTTGATTGTGTTGAAAAATATTGTTTTATAAACACCTTCCTTGTTTTATGTACTTTCCTATGTCTGTAGAAATTTGTGTACACAATTCATACATTTTTGTGAATAAATGGACTACAGTGTGAACATTTTCATTGCCTTGGTAGCTGTATGCATTTGAAGCAAATCAATAATCTTGACTTGTTAGGACTTCAAAGAGTCAAATTCTGTTAAACTGTAAAATTTTGTCTGAAAAACTCAAATGTACAGTTATTCTTTGTCTAATCTAGCATTATTAGATATGTTTTTTTTTTCTGTTGCCCGTGATAGGACAGGATATGATAACAAATGTCTTGGTCCAAAAAAATAAACTGTATAAAAATGTCTGCAATAAATTAGAAAAAATGTTAGTTCATTGTTTTTTAAATGCTGCCAGTATACTTTACTTTCCAGTCCTGTGTCGTGTGATGGCTTTTTATTTACTAAGCGTAGGTAAGATGCAATCAATCTCCTTTAAATGAGGCGAGACTTTTATTTTGTCGGGAAGTTGACCGGATTTGCCCGTGACGTCAGGCGGCTAGTGTATGGTATGTGCGCGCACTGAGGCTGTTCTGTGGAGAGTAGCGATGTCGGAGGAGGTTGGGAAGAAAGTGCAGGCGGTGGTGGACCGGGTGAATCAAGCGGTTTCCCGGCGCCCGAAGGTCAGTTTTCATCGCTTTCTTTTGAGTAAGACACGAAACAACAATGTGCTTTTAAAATACTCTAAAAAACAAAATCTCCACTCGTGCTTACCGTATTGTTATGGCAGGGTTATGTAATCTGTTCAACCTTTACACATACGCGAGCTCCATATAGTAACTAGGAATGATTGACAGCTGGTTAATTATAGCTACATTTTTTTTTGTAATACATTGGATTCATAAAAGTGTTGGAAGGTGTTCAGAATTACGGTATTAATTTGAATAGAGTGCAACTTCTACTCAAGGAGAAGGACGTTGTGTGAACGAATGCATGTTGCATGAAATATCTAATTCTCAGCAGTCACGCTCCAGCAAATGAAATCTGCATGACAAGCGCCAATTACATGCACTTCAAACTCTGACATTACATTAAGCCTTTACATTTCACTGTGTAAACAAGGGGCAAATAGATTGCCACGTGAGGATTTTAAGTTTGATGGTGGTTAAAGTAAATCATACGTTTAATCACTGATCTGTTATTGTGTGTACAGTGGTGGCCAAAATTATTAGAACACTAGTATTTTCACCAGCTAAAAAATTATTTCTATCTTTTGCTGTAGTGTGTCAGCATGAAATATCAGTTTACATTTCCAAAACTTCATTTTGCCATTAATTGTAATCCAGTGAGATTTTTGTCTGACAGCAGCCAGTGCTCCACACAGATCTGATCTGATCATCATCAGTCTGTCTGGAATGACGTGAAGAAACAGAACAAACTGAGACAGACTAAATCCAGAAGAACTGTGAGAAACGTCTCCATGATGCTTCAAGAGACCTTGAAAAAGCTACAGTACTGTTAAAAGTTTTAGGCACTTGTGTAAAAATGCTGTAAAATCAGGATGCTGTCAAAAATAATGTCATAAATAATTTTCTTTATCAATTAACTTCTATTAAGAAGTTTAAATCAACATTTAAATCAACATTTGGTGTGATTTCCTTTACTTTTGAACTAGGTACACTTGCACAGAGTTTTTCAGGGAGCTTTGCAGGAAGGTCTCTTGAAGCATCTTGGAGACGTTGCCACTAGAGATGCACCGATTATGTTTGGTAATGTAAACTGATATTTCCTATTACACACTAAAGCAAAAGATAGAAACAACTGACTTAAAACCACTTTTTTAGCTGGTGAAAATACAAGTGTTCTAATAATTTTGGCCACCACTGTATGTTAATATGAAGAACTGTGGCTTTGTGCTGCTGGCCGAATTGCTCTGTGCTGATATAGAGCCATATTGCAATCCTGCTTGTGTAATATTGCTAATATATAATAAATAGACAGAAAGTATTGTTTACTTTTATAAAAGTTGTGGAAAAACAGTGTCTGCATATGTGGTTCACATCATCATTGATATGAATGAGTGTTTTTCTTACACCTGAGCAGCACAACTGAGTTGTTGGTGATTCGCCTGTGCTCAAATGATGAGAGTGAGCAGTGCTCTTCAGTACTTGACTACAATGGCCCAGAGTCAAACACTGCTCTCAACACACAGGTACTTTAGCACTTACACTCTAAAAGCAACATGCATTAGAAACACCTTTCATAAGAAATGTAGTAATTATATTAAATTATATATTCATAATAATTTAAATGCATAATATATTTAGAGTAATTGTTTTATAATAATACTTTGATAAGTTAAGTGAGCTTTATTGACAGATTTATTGCTGACACATTTATTGTTTAACAAAATTTATTCGTTGTAGACTATTCAAACTTTAATTTTATAGGATATTCATTTTAGGGCAGTTCATGAAAATTATGGATAATTCAAACAATGTGATTAACAGTTAGGCTAAAAAAGGTAATGCATTAAGGCCACATACACACTGTAAAGTTTCAGGAGTGACAACCTGGCAACCAATACGTCATTAAAGGGATAGTTCACCCAAAAATGAAAATTTGATGTTTATTTGCTTACCCCCAGGGCATCCAAGATGTAGGTTTCTTCAGTAGAACACATTTGATGATTTTTAACTCCAACCGTTGCAGTCTGTCAGTCGTATAATGCATGGCAATGGTAACAAAATCTATGAGAGTAAAAAAAACATGCACAGACAAATCCAAATTAAACCCTGCGGCTCGTGACGACACATTGATGTCCTAAGACACGAAACGATCGGTTTGTGCCAGAAACC